CATGCACCCGGTGGAACAACCGCAGCTCGCGCCATGGTATCCGAATCCAACACCAAGTGTGTACTTGCATAAACTCGTCAAGCCCCAAGGCAGAGCTGAGGGCCACGCCGGGACAGAGAAGGCCCCAGCGCACCAGTTAGCCGACGAGGATGACAGAACGGACCCATGGAAAGAATATATGCTGCTGTCACCGCGCCGCCCGCTCTGCGGGATTCCCTCGAGCCTCATGTGCACCAGCAAGCAGGTCTACAACGAGTGCCGGACCCTGCCCCTGCATGCTAACGAGTTCGTCTTCTTCAACTGGTTCTCCTCGGGCATGTGGGCGGCGCGGTCCTTCACGCGCGGGCTGCGCCCGTGGCAGCGTGACGAGATGCGGTTCGTGCGGCTCGAGATGCTGGGTCGGGACTTCACGGGCCCGACGCTCAAGGAATGGGTCGAGCTGTGCGGGCACTGGGCTCCGGGGGTCCAGGGTCTCAGGCTCAAGATTCTGATCGGGGGCGGGCTGTTCGAGCCCACAGCCACATTCGCCGCGCTGAATGGCAACGCGGAGGCGAGGGCCCTGGGACTGGCGGCGGGGACCGCGCCTCATAGCGAGCCGGTACCCGAATGGATCGAGGAGGGGTTGAAGCGGATGAGGGCATTGACGAGGCTAGAGGTCGAGCTGACGGTGCTTGACTGGGGTAACGACGAGAAGATTGCGTGGTGCGCCGAGCTTGAGAGAGTTCTGAACGACAAGAGGCGAGAGGCGGGACAGGAGAATGTTACCGTCAGGTGTGTCGAGAGGTTCATGGAGGAGCGCGGGCCAAAAAGGCAAGTCTCTGACGAACCCACGAAGGGCTGAGCCCTGCTGAGTCTATCACCAGAACAGAATGGGACTTTGGGGACTCTGGGTGACGTCTGTTGGTCGACTGGAGGCTGTACGATATGGTGAATTCGATAAGGGGCCACGGGTGATGAGGGCGAGATGAGGCAGTTTAGATTCAGGGGTCTTGGGCGATACGCCGGGAAGTAGGATACCGATATAATCATCTGTTGTTTGGTCAGCGGTACGGCAGTATTTTTTTCTTTCTTTCCATTGTTCAAAGGCTTGGTCTGGGACTCTGGTGAATATGACCTGTGTTGACTGGCACCGTTGTTGAGGAAGGAGGTTGGCAGGTGAAGTTGGCTGTTCCTTCCGTCTGGAGTTGTTACTTCTGCAGTTCCTGTACCTTCCTCCGGCTTTCAGATATCTTTTATTTTCACATTTCTATATCTCCTCAATCTTGTAACGCACCCTTCTCAACCAATTGTACAAGCAACGGATTCTCCCTCGACACCTTGTCAACCTGGCTCGTCCTTCAGAAATACCCTCTTTAACCCTCCCGCCAGTATCCTTTGCGCGCATTCTTTGATTGCTCCCTCCTATTCGAAAGTAGCTTTTTACTGGAGTCACCTACATTCAAGCCACAACGAGAGCAAGATTTACACCGAGTGAGTTCTTCAACGCGCCCCAACTCGACAGCGACTAACAAAGGCATACGCCGTCAAGCCTTTGTGCGACTCTCGCCATACTTGATACTCTAATCAAGGGGAACCAATTGCTTCTTACAAGAACAATACAAGATCAATCTTAGTCTTGACACTCTTTGAAGATCAGGTAAGCCGCACAATGTGCCATAACCCCAACGTCCACTGACCAAGGCTAGCCATCATGTGCGGCCATGTTATGCGCGGTCGTTTCGCTCCCCGCTGCCCTGATGATGATATGGACTTCACCACGGCCTGGGCTCCTGAGCTCCGCATCCCAGTCCTGATTCTCATCACTCTGTTCTTCATGTGGATGCACCCCGCCATCACCGACACCGTCAAGCGAATCGTTTGGGTTGTGGTCAAACCCTTTGCCCTCGTCGTCGGCTGGGCCACAGTCGCCGTGGTCCGCTTTCTCATCTTTCTCTTCATCGATGGCCCCAAGATGATTACCATTCTCCTTACTCCTGAAGTTCGAGAGGACGTTGACTTTCTTGGTGTCAACGTCAAGAGCATCACCAAGCTTAACGCCATCTGGAGCCGCCTCCATGACGAAGAGGACCAGTATGTCCCCGGCGGCGTCTTCGACAAGAAGTATAAGCCGTACCTCCCTTCAACCAAGATGAAGCTCTCTGGGGGTCGACAGCGCAAGGCTCTCGCTCGCAACCGCGGCATCTCCTGCTAAACTTCCCCTCCCTGAGAAAGACCGGCATGCTAGAGCCCGGCCGGTGTGAGCCAGTGGGCCATTTCTTGGAGAGTTGTTGTGGCAGAGAACATCTTTCGACTACTCCATTAATCAGCGACACGATGATAATGGCATGGGACTTGGCTTATGACACTTTTTTTCTTTCTTGTTGCGGGACAGTTTGGGAGACGGCGACTTTGGGTTCGAGCTTGCGATCCATAGGGAAGCTCCCGCGTCTCCATTTTGGGCTGGTGGTAATGGCACTAGAGACTTCAGTATGGGGGCCTCTGAGCTACACGGGTTATGTGACTTGGGTCCTGATCACACGGGTAGATTGGGAATGAATTTGGCGTTCGAGGTCAGGGAAGACGGAAACCCTGTGGTCGCGCAAGCAGTCGGGCTTGCTCTCACAACGCTCTTGCTGACTCGACACTTGGATGAGGAAAGACTCCTGATAACCTGGGGTGAGATAGAACGCAGTGATTGCCTAGATAATAAAGATTGCGTAGTAAAGCTTCTGGCCTTGCCTCTCACACGATTCGCGACATCGGGTGCTGATGAAAGAGGTGAAGTTGGAAATACCCCGACTGCAGTGAGAATGCAGCAGTGCCACCAGCGCTGGTTTCTAGCTAGCGTTTGCAGGCGAGAATTCTCGTGCGACTAATGCAGAATTTGGTCCCTGATACCCAGTCTGTAAGTTCAGTCGACTCTTTGCGGACTCCTCGTCAACTGCATCGCCACCTCCCTTACTCCTTGATGAATCATAGCATGGCCGTAGTCCCCACTGACCCAGCCGAGATGGGAATCAATCAATTTACATGATTTACCAAGTTATAGTGTTACGAGAACGCGATGGGTTGTAACCGAGATAAACCGAGTCTGTATAGTAAGGAAGTTGAGTATTCAAGTCTACTTTGGTAACAAACCCGATCCTTCTCTTTACACACCGGCTCGGCTTGATCTTCAAGAGAAACCTCCGGCTTGTCCACTTCTAGGAGGGCCGGCTGCTCTCTTCCCCTTCTCTACATTTCCTATTCGGCCCCCCATGGATACGACTCCCATGTGACTTCGCGTCTGTCTCGTTCCCCCTCCCCACCTCCAATCTCACCAAAAGGGCCCCAAGGCCGACCCCGCACCCCCCGGCATGACTCACATCTTCCCGTCCGGCCCCATGTCACCGCAACACTGCGCGGGCCGCAGTTTCAAATCGACGGGAAGATGGCGTGTAGGAGACGCCTGGGTAATACCATATTGTGTTTAACCTACTGTTTGGTCGGTTGCTGGAGGTGGATCGGCTTCGCGTCTTTGGGCCGCGCGCGCACGTGTGTGTGTGTGTGTGTGTGTGTGTGTGTGTGCCATGTGGCTTTGCCGGTGGTTCGCTCGGTACAAAAAGGACGGGAGGATCCCGCGCATGCGACTCCGTTTCGGGGTACTCTTGCAGACTCCTCATGCTTATCGCCCGAGGAAACCGGGCCGCCTCCTCACCCAACTTACAAGTGAGACACGGTTGACCACGAACTCACTCGTTCCTTAGACAACTAAACTCACGACCTACCCAGCATCAATCTGTAACACCTACATGCGCACCGGAACTCGAACGGTACTCCAAAGCACCCTCCCTCGGCTCTGACGTCACATTGAGTGACCCCACGCTGACCACCTCCTTCCAGAGGCCTCGACGGTTTCCAACAATAAACTCAAGAAAAGAAAGAAGAACAGAAGAAGAAAACACCATCCCGAGAATGGATGCAAGATGCCAGTGCGGCGCGGTGAGGTTCAAGACGCCGCTGCCGAAGCCGCTGCGCCTGTATGTCTGCCACTGCGACGAGTGCAAGCGCCAGACGGGCTCCGCGTTCGGCACGTCGGCGATCTTCCCCAAGTTCCAGCTGCCCAAGGCTGAACTGATGGGCGTCTACGCGTGAGTTCTCGAAAATCGAGGGGAGTCTGTCGGGTGTAGGAGATGCTGGGAGGTTAAGAGAGAAAGGGTGGTGGTGGTGAGAGGTGAGATGTGAGAGGTGAGAGGTGAGAAAAGGAGGCCGCCCTCGCTGACATTCTCGGGACGTAGGAGGCCGACTGCTTCGGGGGCCACTCTATACTGGTGAGTTGCCGTCGCAAAGATACGGCCGAGAGACGCGACGACTGATGGGTTGCGCTCGATAGTTACTTCTGTCGAAACTGCGGCACCCGGCTAATCCACGCCACGCCGGTACGCCATTAGCACCCACCCACCCTCCCCCTGCCCCAAACGGAAATCAACCTTCCGTCGGCTCAAGTGTGCAGGAGTACATTCTGACAGCGCAATTCTGCAGGACAAGAACGTCGTCTCCGTCAAGGGCGGCTGCATCGACGGCCTCGACTGGAAGACGGCCGTCCACATCTGGACCAAGAACGCCATGGTCCCCATCCCCGAGGGCGCCGAGTCCCACGAGGAGGAGGCCGAGCACACGGAGTACGGGCCGACCCAGAAGGCCCTCGACCAGCCGACGGGCCTGCGCGGCAGCGGCGGGGACCCCCCGCCGACCAAGCCTGACGGGCGCTGCGAGTTGAGCGGCGGCGGCGGCGTCCATTATTAGTGTAGGGGAGAGAGACGAGCCCAAGCGTAAATGTACTCGTCTTGTCTATCAAGTTGGAAGACGACGCATCACGCGGCCAGTGGCTCGTTTGAGGCGAGCCGGGGATGAGGTGGGATAATCAATGGCGTATGTATACCAGAGAATAACTTATTACAGACCAAGTGTCACCAAATCTGCAATACCGTCGAGAACTTGGCTTTACTTGAAAATTAAAGATGATAATATAATATGCAGTTAAGTAGTGTATAAGCTAGTAGGCAGGTGGGAATGAAGTATCAGCAAGTAGACCATGAATCAATACACTGTTAACATCATGTCGCTTACAAAACAGGAGGTAATATGTAAACATGCTTTTCCAAAGGGAAATTAAGAGTGTTTGAAATAGCGTATTAATCCATGGTCTATTTGTCAAGACTTCGTTCATCCTGTTCTGCCCGTCGCGTATTAGTTCCTACGTAATATACCCTCTAAGCCAAGCTCACGATGACTGCCCAACAAGCGACTCCTCACCGCTCGGCCTCCCGTTTCCCGGCTTGGCAATGGACTCGTGCTGGTGGCCCTCCTCGGCGCGGGCCCCGGCGTCGGAGTGCTTCGCCGGGTCGAAGACGTACATGGGGAACTCGAGGAAGACGGTGCGCTTCAGGACCGTCGGCAGGCGGGCGTACAACTGCGGCGGGAAGGGGATCAGGATGCTGGTGCGCTCGAGGTAGCGCCGGTAGCCCTCCCAGTTCTGGCCGTTCTCGTAGCGCTTCTTGGCGCCGGGCCGCTCCTGCAGCGTCAGGCCCGAGACGAACATGAGAAGCAGCGTCAGGAAGAAGGGGCCGAGTATGGTGGCGTAGAGAGCCTTGAAGGCCTGGCCGCCGACGTAGCCGTCCGCGGCGGAGGACACGGCGATCATGTAGATGCCTAGCGGGATGGTGTTAGCCGAGCGTCTTGGAAGCGATTATTGGCTTGGTTTTATATGCTGTGCCATCTCGGCTGCCGTGGCCGCCACGGCTGCCAATCATGCGGTTCCGAGGTGTCTGATGACTTGGCGCGCGTACGAGGAGGGGCGGGACCCGGACTTACCGAACTGGATGAGGATCTCGCCAAAGTAGTTCGGATGCCTTGAGACCTTGAAGAAGCCCTTGTCGCAGATGGCCTCCCGGCTCGGATTGTCCCGGCGGAAGCGGTACTTTTGCGCGTCGCTGACAGACTCCATGACGAAGCCGACGGCGAAGAAGATAACACCGACGACGTCGCGGCCCGTGCCGAAGGCGTGCTGCGGGTACCGCGTGACGTTTGGAGAGTTAAGCACGGTTACGGGCAGCGAGACAGTCCAGACCCAGATCATCTGGAAGATCCAAAAGCCGAGGAAGGGGAAGAACTTGTCGCGCTTGTCGTCGAAGCGGTCGTCCTTGCCCGTCTTGAGAATGCGGAATAAGAGGAAGGCCGAGAGGCGGGCGCCCCAGAGCATGATGAAGATGGAGGCGACGACCTGGCGTGCGTGGGCATGGCCGCTGAGGGAGAGGGTGATTATGGCGAGAACCACGAAGTTTGTGCCGCCGGCGAAGTCTGCGTCAACGTTAGCTTTGCGAGCGCTTTGAGTGGGCGGCACTCGTCCGCCGGTAGGGGAAGAGAGGTATCGCGATTGTGAAGATGAGAGGGCGAGGCGTTGTGAGATCTTACCCGTGAGTTTGTCGAACTTGAAGCTGAAGGCTATCGAGAAGAAAAACAGCTGATATGCAACTGTGATGAGCGCCGTGATGGCCAGGTAATAGTCGTCGAGGACGTGTACAGTCGCCATCTTGAGCCGAACTGCTATTTTCGGCGTCGGTTTCTCACTCGTGGTTGTGTGTATGTTGTAGATGTGTGGACGCGGGTTCTATCCCACACCTGAGACGCTTTGAAGAGCGGATTTGAAACACCACAGTCGACGGCAGCCGGCGCGCTGCTACTTGAGTTTTATCGAGCAACGCGACAAACGAGGTATCTGGACCGTTCTCTTAACGCAGTCATGGTCGATCCCGGAGGAGCCGTGGGACGAGGTAGTGAAAAGCGCCCGACAATCGCGGAAGGTCGTCTGCTTAGCCTCAATCAAAGGTCCAAGGAAGCCTTCACTGTCGTCATCGACTTGTGCGACCCGCTGGTTCGGACAGCCTTTAGAAGGGGTCCATGTACCGATGCAGGCGAGTTTGTATGATGGGGATACATCGGGCGGTGCCCTCGATCGGGGCTCGAGGAGCACCGAGGGCCGCGCCGTCAAGCCACACTCTGTTTAGCTGCAGCTCCAGCCACAGTCGATGAGATGAATTCCCCTTTGGGCTAGGAGTGGCTGGACTGGCAAATGCATGTCAGCAAGCACGTGGACTGTTTAATGACGGCGGTTTACGGACCCCGTACAAGTAGGCTCTACCTACCGAATTGAGTGAAACGAGAAGAGACTGACGTTCCATCCTTTTGCCAATCACGACACCCGGTGCCTGGTCTTGATTGGGTCTTCCTATTGAAGCACGACTGAAGGCCGGCTAAGGGGTGGTTTGATGGCTACCTAGTGGTGACCGCACGAGGTCTCATGCTGGTGTCATGGATCGATCCCCCCACCAATCGATTATAACTGAGCAAACGTGCTATTAACTCGGCTGGCTTCACCTTCGCCAATCGTCCGGCAGACAGTGGGCGTGGTCACCAGCGGCCCCTCCCCCCAATATGTCATCATCAAACATGTCGCTTGGACTTGTCGTCGTTTGACCCATCACGTCGTCACGCGATTCGCCTCAGTCGAGGCAGAGAATGTATGCTCCGAACACCATATGATTTCGCATGTTTTCTGCTCGTCCTCCTCCCGGCTTTCACTTCACCTTGGGACGACCATCTCATCGTCTCGAATCTCGTTGACCGATCTCTCCCAAGGACGAAAGGGGGGTTCGACCGTGGAGGCGAAGAAAAAAGGGGGAAAAAAGAGAAGAAAGAGAAAAGAGGCAGTTGCGTACCTATGCGCGGGTGGTCGGCGACGAATCCCGTCTCGCCGAGCGGCTCGTTCACCCTTTCGAAAAACGACGACGACGCACGCATGCAAGGAACCAAGGAAAAGAATGGGACGGAGATCATACCTCTGTATGGCCGTCGTCTAGAAAGTTCATCTCTGCATCGTCTGTGCCCGTCCTGTTTCGCGACTCATGAGATACCTAGTGCGCCGGCCGCCTGCGCATCCGTGGGACCAGATAGCGCGCATCTATCTGAACATAGCCTTCGTGCCTCTCACGCAAGATGATCTTCACGTGGGTGGTGCGGTACGTACGGCAAACCATGGGAAAATTGCCCGTCGCTGCGTTGCATCGTGCGCCGCCCCTCCTGGCCTGTCGAAGCGTCGATCAAGGGCTGACACAGGCTCCGTGGGCCCGACCAGCTCCCAGCCCACCAGTCGCGATGCATCCTGGGTTTTGTTCGGCGACAGTCGCTCTTGCATGCAGCTTAGATTCATTCTCGACAATCTGGTTTTCCAATTGCGAAGAAATCGGTCCGTTTCGCATCGCCCGCGCAAGCGCGGAAAGTAAAAGACGGCGGTCCGCGTTATCCATTGCAAAACATTGTTTCATCTGTCTGTCATTTTTCACCACCACTTGCGATCTGGGAGTTTTGGCAGGGGCACAAAAAAGCTAACAAAAATAGCTGAGGAAGCGAGCCACTGCCCGCCTGTCTTCCCAAACATCGCATCACGTCAAACACATCACGCGTGCTACTGGCTGCAGGAATGCGGCCGATGTGACGACGACGACGGCGGCAACGAAGACGACGACGACCTCAACATCGACTGGTAAGTAGTATGAGAGCAAGCACCTGCCTACCTACCTGCCTACCTACCTACCTACCCACTCACTAACAGCGACCGCGACAACAACACGATGGCGCACTTGGCGCTGCTGTCACTGGCTCAGGTGCCCGCTGCTGCTGCTGCGACCACACGCACACAGTCCGTCGTGAGCTGGGCCGGGATTCTCGCCCTTTCGGAGCCCCCCCCTGGGTAGGAAGTTCGAGGATTGCACCCTCGTCTCAGACGAAGACCGTCTGGGGCATGTCTCACACCCTTGAGTCTCACGGGGATCCGTGCAGGGGTATCCCTCACCCCGTCAGGTACATGCTATGGGATAAATCGAACTTTCTCCGGAGTTGTGGGCTCCCGCAGCGCCATGCTTACTACGTACACACGGCTTCCATCTCCGATCGAGCCTCTGACGATCCTTGGGGGCATGAACCATGCCCAGCTAACGTCCATCATACCTACGGGGCAACAGCGACCCTATTCCAGATTCCACATTCCACATGTAGCCCCCCTTGGGTACGTTTCTTGGCACTCCTGAACCTCATTTTTGAGTCTCCAGCGCGCTCCTGGCTGTGTGGCCCCTGGCTCCAATGATGCTTGAGCCGATTCGAATGGGGGCGAGTCGCCCCTGGACCAGACGCCCATCCGACACCACCATCGTACCAGGTCTGGCCCTTTCCGGGGGGGGGGGGGGGGGGCGACCGTCCAACGCTTTACGACCCTCTCACGCCTTCTTCGCGCCGCCTCGCACATTTCATCTCGTCAAAGAACCATCCCCTCTTCGTGGGCGGCTCACACCCGCATCGCCAAGCATTGGCAAGCACTTTAGCCACTGGTGCGTCTGGGGGAGAAGAAAAAAAATATATTGATGGATGGGCGCGTGTTTGATTCACATTGATTGCATGGACAGGACCAGAGCCGACTTAGGCCAAGTCAGTTTTGATGACATTCTCGGTCTTGCTTCTCGATTAATCTTTGTGGCTTTCCCGCAACTCAAGACTCTCTCTCTCCTTCACCTCGTGTGATTTGTGGCGCCCATGTCGTCCTGCTTCGTCCGATCTCCCCTCTCCCCTTTTGCTACCCTCCTCACCATCACGGCTATCTATCCCAGCCCAAACTGAGCCTGGAACCGTCCTTGTCCCTGATGAGAAGCTCGGAACACACGGCTCTCTTCTCTCTTTGACCGAGAATCTCTCACTTCTCTCACACGCTCTCTTGCCATTTACCGCAGACACACACCCCTTCCCTCCTATACCTCCACTTCTGGGGTCCGTGTTCCATCTAAGCGTGTCTCTCGTCCATTCTTAGTATCTGCACACACTCATTACTCGTGGTCTTGGCCATCCAATCTTCTCTTTGGGCATTGTTCTGAAGGTCGCCACCGATCTGCCCCCAACTTCCTCTCGTAATCGCGAAGGTTTACGGGAAACAACCATAAACCTGTGTACATACTTCTTTTCGTGTGTCTTCGATCCTAGGGTTGAACCCATCGAAGCTTCATCGACGGCTGGTCTGTTGAATCCACTCTTTACAAAAAAAAAAAAAACCAGGAAGGAAAGAAATCAGCAATCGAAGAAGAAGGGGGTTTCAACAACATCAACAACGACAACATCAACAACGGCAACATCGAAAGGGAAACGACGAGGGAAAAGGAAAAGAAAAGCAATATCAAACACTGGAGGAACGTTGCGCGACGCACGACGGTCGCCAGCTTTCGCCCCCGAGCACACAATGAGACGAGGTCTCCTCCTTGCCGTGGCAGCTCTATCGACAAACACTCAGGTTCGTTCCCTCGATCCCCACGGAAAACAAGCCACGGAATTCTCACACGGAAGCAGGGCGCGGTCGTCGACAAGAGACAGAACATCCAGGTCGATGGAAACGGCAACGTCAACGTGCAAGGACCCGGTGCCGCGGGCGTGAAGGTGACGACGTTGGACGTTACCAACGTCGGCGCGGCATCGGGCCAGGGAAACATCATCGCCGACATCTTGGGCGCCCTCAACGGAAACCGGAATGGCGGCAACGTCGCCAACTGCCCGCCCGCGCCCGCGCCCGCCCCTGTCACTGTCACAACGACCATATACATGAACGCCTCGCTGCCCCCGCCATTGACGGTCTTTGTCACGCAGCCAGCCGCGTGAGGAGCCCCTCTCCCAGAATAGAGGACGAATGCAGTTAGTTGGGCAGAGAATGCTAATCAAGATCGTAGGCCGCAAATCATCACGGAGTTTGTCACCACAACGCCGCCGCCTGCCGCTGCTCCCCCTCCCGCGGCCGCGGCGTCATCAGCCCCGGCCGCAGCGCCTGCACCTCCTGCGGTATCGTCACAACCCGGCCTCGTCATCCCCGGCACTCCTCAGTCGCCGCCTTTTGCCGGTCTCTCATCCTCGTCGATTCCGCCGCCGCCGCCGCCGCCTGCGGCAACTCCTGCTCCCGTTGCAGCTGGTACGTCTTCACCGCCTCTGGACTTCCGCCCCCGGGATTCGACGGCTTACCAAAAAAAAAAAAAAAAACCAAAAAAAAACCTGCAGGAGTAACTAACACAATCTACAGAGCCCGCCGCCTCTAAGCCCGCTGCCGCCCCCGCCGCTCCTAAAGCACCCGCCGAGGCTCTCCCGCAGGTCGGTGGCCCGGCCGGAAACAGCAGCCCGACGAAGTCTCTGAACCTGGGCGGTCTCACCGGTCTCACCGGTACCGCCGCCGCCGGCGCGCCCGCCGCCGACATCACGCCCCCCGTCGCCGTGAACCCCGCCCAGCCGGCGGTCGTCGTCAGTGGCCTCGCCCTCAGCAAGTCTCTAGTGCTCGGCAACCTGCTGCAGCAGTCGGCCCGGCTGAAGGCCCGCGAGACGCCCGCGTTGTAAGGAGGAACGAGACCGAGCACCGGCAAACCCATTCCGAGAGCAGCGTTGCGATGTTCCGATTTCCCGACGTTCGATGCATGCCAAGCGAGTCTATCTACTGCTTCATTATTGGATGGCAGATGTGAGGGTGGGCTGTTGTTGTTGGAGAATGAGAAGGGGGGGGGAGCCGTCAAGGGAAATGGCAGAAGCACCATTGCATTCGTGGGGAGGATATGACGAACGTCGTGGACCATCCACTTGGTCAAAGTGGCCCAGCAAGCGGCATACGAAATACCCTAGATTTCTTTTCTTTTCGATTCTTGCGTGCGTGTGTGCTCGCGCGCGCGCGTGTGTATGTATGTGGAACAGGGGGGACGACGCAGACATTTAGGAGGTAAATTGTGAGGGGGTTTTCTTAATAACGAACGGAGAGGTGGTCCGGACCTTGGTACATAGGAGAAGGAGGAGGGAAGAGGAAAGGAGAAGGAAAGAGGTGGGCAGGCAGGCCAACAAAACCCCGAGTACCACCAGTACGGATTCCTCCTCCTACGACGTCGCGGCCGCCGCCCTACGTCCCCCATCGTCCGTCCTGCGTCCCGCGCGGCGATGGGGCGAGGCCGTGGCATCGCTTCGAGCAGCAGAGAAGCCTGCATCGAGGGGATAGGAGGAGGAGGAGGAGAAGGAGGAGGTGAAGGAGGGGAGGGGGGCAAGCTTGCATTCAACATATCCCCCGGCGGTTGTATATAATTCATTTCTTTTGGGGGGGGGAGACACGCACCGCGGCCAAACATCTCCATATCCCATTCTCCCCCCTTTTACCCCCCCACAACCTTGTATACGATAGCTTCCCCCCCCCACCAAAAGATAATTGAGCAAGTCTCATGATTCATCTAACCGTCTCCCCGGTCTTTGAGAAGCATGTCCCTTCCGCCCCATGTTCGCACCGAGTCACTGATCATGTGTGCTTGTGTGTGTTTGTGACGCTGTTGCTGGCGTTCATGCCTGTCCTTTCTTTTCCTTCTATGGGAGGGGGTATCATAAAGCGTAAACGACGTGTGCCCGCCCAATACAGTATTAACTTTGCCTAATCTCATCAATCTTCATCCCTCGCCAAAAATAGGGGTAGGGGGTGGTGAGGGTCGCGTCGACTCTACGCCGCATCCTTTTCCTTCTCCTTCAGCGCCAGCCTGAGCTTCTTGGCCTGCCTCTTGCTCATCGTCTGCGGCGCGCCATCGCCCGCCTCGTCGGGCGTCTTGCGCTTCTGACCGTTCCCCCTGTCCTCGCCGCCTCCGCCGCCTTGTTTCGTGCCCTTGTCCCCCTTCCCCTTGCCACCGTCCTTCTTCCCCTGCTGCTGCTGCTGCTGCTGCTTTTGCTTCTGGGCGTCCTCCTCCCGTCCGCCGACCTCGAGCACGTTGACGACGCCCCGGAACCCGCTCCTCTTGATGCCCTCGTTCACGACGACGCCGCGCGGGTTCGCCCCGAGCGCCTCGGTACCCTTCTCGCTGGCGAGGCCCCACACGGCGAGGAGGTTGACGACGTCGTTGGGCGCGCGCAGGCCCAGGGCCGAGCGCGCCTCGGAGCTGACGACGACGCCCCTGCCCTTGGTCGCGCGCACGAGGGAGGCGAGGTTGGAGATGAAGGCGGCGCGGGCGCGGGCGTCGGGCGCGCCGAGGACCTGGGCATAGCACACCTCGAAGCGGACGCCGCGGGAGACGGCGGCCATGAGGGGCTTGGGGCGGAAGTGAAACGGGAAGTGCTGCGTCAGGTCGAGGGAGATGAGCGAGGGCTCGGCCATGGAGAGGCAGGCGGCCTGGAAGGCCTTTTCGGTGGTGGGGCGGACGGCGAGGAGGTCGTAGGCGGCGGCGAGGGCGGGGAGGCGGTAGTTCTGGGAGGGGTCTGAGAGGAGGACGGTGGCGCGGTGGAGGACCGTCAGCCGGGGGCTCTTCTGCTGCGGCTGTGAGGGGGCGGCCGCCGACGCCGACGGCGGGAACTTTGGTAGGGGGTTCGTTATTTGCGAAGGGATCGGCGGCGTGATGGTGTGGTTCAGGGCGAGGACGGTGTAGCCCAGCGAGGAGGCGAAGGACATCGTGCGAGAGAGGTCCGCGGGGGTCGTGGCAGGGGACCACGGGATGTTGAGGTCGTAAAGCATGGTTTGATGAGGGTGGGCGGGAGGAGCGAAGCTATCGCGAGCTTTTGCGCATGGGGGTGTGTGGTGACGAGTCAACAGTGGGCAGTTGCTGTCGGGGCCGTTGATGACCGTAGGATGTCCAATTGCGCCGGGGACGACGATGATGATGGCAATGTGGAGTCTCGGTGTGGCTAGGGCGTCTACGCGTGTATATCTGCGCCGCTATGATCAAGATGCCGTGGCTTGCTTGCTGCGTATTGGTGGTGGTTGGACGGACCGTATTGCGCAAAGATGCACTTTTTGTTTTCTTTTCTTTTTTTTCCGAGACGGAGGTCGGTATTAGGTTGGTTCCGCGGGGCAGCTGGGATGACGGACAGACGTTTCCTTTTTTTTTTTTTTCCCCTTTCTCTTTCCGGAACGTGGGGTTACATGGCGCTAGAAGCTTTCTCCGCCGGCGGTTCTTCAGGCTACCTACTTAGGTGTTCTACCCTTGAAGTTGCCCTCAACCGGAGGTGTGGGCAGCGGGAAGTCCGGGCGGGAACATCGGACTAAAGTGGAGGCAACTTGATGCCTTCATTGACCCTTCGCGGGCTGCCTCCTCAGGTCACTCCTGAAGGTTTTGGGTAAAGTTGACAGTCAGCTTTCAGCCTTGAGCCACGGCGTTCGTAGAGCAAACCACGCCCAAAGTCAAAGAGGTACCTAGTCTGGGAGAAGCCAAGAGGGTCGTTTCCGGTTCCTCCGCGATAGAAGTCAAACTCCAGACGGGCGGCGTATCCATCCGCGGGTTCGCAGCTGAGGCTATATTGCGACGAGTAATAGTGACGAGCATGAAGCATGATCGCGCTTGACGGCCTATCCTCGAAACCTCGCCCGAACTCGCAGCATTGATCGAGGGCAGGGAAGCATGTCCCGATCGCCAAGGTATCAGACAGGGTCGCAAGTCTCCTTCCACCCCCCATGTTTCTCGATTGTTCCTCTGCTTTGCCAAGTCATCTCCGGAGAAAGCCGTCCTGGTGTGAATGAATATCGGTGGAGAGGAAAAGCACTCGAGGTTTCTGGACCGCCAAGGATGCACCGCCTCGGAAGACACGCAAGACAAGCACACCAATCACCACCGGCGCCATCAATAAAAAAAAAAAACCAAAAAAAACACAAGAACAGTACTTATTCATCCCTCTTTCTCCAAAAATAAGAACCGTCCGCCACTTACCATTCGAACCGACCCATTGCAAAAGCTTGGGCCACCCTCTAAACGTCTAAGGGCCAGTCAGCAAGCATATGCAATTCCTCCATCTCGGTACGGAATAGGTCGAGCCAATTCTGCATTAAGGTAGCTTAGCCCGCCTCCAGTTCGAGGTCACCCGCGCCTCCGCCGACCTCAACTGTTCCTCCCGCATCGCCGTCCGTCTCCTCGTTCCTTTCGTTCCTTCAATTCCCTGGAACGTCTCGGCTGCCATCACTGCAGTGTATCCAGATATCTCAGTTCCGATACCAGCAGTCGGCCCTCTCACACTAGCGCAGCGCTAAACAGCAGAAAGGAGGAAATCTTACCGCCGTCATACGACCGGTCCCGGGTGTTCCACCGCCATTCATCACCCGCTGCTCGCCACCGCTCCTTCCCTCGCACCTGCAGCAGCGACAGCGACTGAGCGTGCATACGTCTATCTGATCTGGTCTGATCTATCATAACCACTGAACCCGCCCAACATGTTCTTCTTCTTCGTGTGCGGCGAGCACACCTTCCGCAAGCCCGTCGAGGGTTACGAGGGCATGGTCTGCCAGTGCTACAACTGCGGCAACATGGCTGGCCACGTCATCAAGAGCCATCCGTGGTTCACGTTTTGCTGGATTGTGAGCCCCCCCCCCCCCCCCCCCCCCTTTTTTTTTTTTCTTTTTCTTCTTCATTCTGTTCATCACTTTGTATCTGCGTATTTCTTGCGGTCTCTGCCCCTTTGAGCTTGAGGTTCGGGTTCTTGTCGGCCGACTCAAAGCCCTCCGTCATTCCACCCGCTACCTTTTGGCATCTTGGCTTCGCATCGCGACCTTGATGAGACCTATGAGAAGTTTCAAGTCCAAGAAAGGACATCCGAGACTAACTGATCCCGCAGCCTGTCATCCCCTTGTCTTTCAAGGGCTACACCGATGTTGTCTGCCACATCTGCAACTTCGCCCAGCCGCTCGAAAACCGCCCTGATGTCACATCGATGAAAGGCGGCGGTCAGATGTACCCTCAGCCTGTCCATGGACAGCCTCCTCAAGGATGGGGTCAAGCGCCACCTCAGTACCGATGAGAGACCAAGTATTCTCATCTTTGGCCATCAACATGACTCGCCATCTTAAAACTCCTCACTGGGGAGTGGACGATCGCATCAAGGGGAGAAGGCAACAAGCCTGGGAGGGGGACTCGAACGGACGGGTTATTAGTGATGACCTCTTGCCCACACTTTGTTCTACCGCGAAGGGTAGGGTATGGCATTTATGTTTCCTTATGATTCTAGGCAAGATACCAAGCTGGTTAGGCGTTGGGGCAGGCCATTGCGTACAATGACGACAATTGAGTTATTAATATTTCTTTCGGATACGTCGCTTGCCCGAGGGGGTGACATTCATCTTGATGTCCTGCGCCATACTTTTCCATCGTTTTCGCCAATTGTGGCGAGATTATACAGGGACCACGACATGAGGCTTACTCATCACGGAAGTCAAGCGATATTGCCTCATGTCCAGCTTGTGCGGAGGTCTGGGAATCATACCCCTGCTGACAGCCTAAACAACCCCAACTTGCCAGCTCCCATGGAGCCGTCAAGCCATGGCAGCAGAGTATTTTGCTTGTGAGCAATCTGCCGCAAACAGTTTCCCTGCGGAAAACTCCAACTTAAGCGCTGGTCGGGGTTGAGTCAAGACCCTTGGCACATCATGTACCACACTTTCTGTGAATGTAATTTGTGCTGTCTGTGTATCGAATGAGAAAGGGGTAGTATATCGTTAAAATCGAATTGAGCAAACATCTACTCTACACGTTACAACGTAGTTTGAATTCAATGGCACGTATTTGTTGAACCGTTAGCATCATAGTTTTCTTAAAAGTCAACCAAAATTAAAATGCGTGTATAATTGCATATCTGTTAGCAGCGAATACCAAAATGCTTTGACATGTGAAGAAATACCTTGACATATACGGAGTATGCATTTCAGCCTACGATGAAAGTCAAGCAGTACGGCAACACATGACGTATGCTTTCGGCACCAGCCACAAGTGGGAACTGTGGCGGTACACACGTACCGAACTTTCCTGACTGCTTCCGTCATGTCAATGTTCGCACCACTTCAGATCCCCGACATGGACTGATCATTGAAATCTCGATTATCAGTTTTATCCAACCAAAGAAACACAATCTGCGTGATGTTATTTGGATCTGTTGCGCGATAGAGACAATCTACTTCCGACCCACGAACTCGACCGACAGCCTCCAAACATCCGCAACAATGGCGTCCGCGAAGCGAGGTCCATCGGTGCTGGTCCGTCACAACCTCCCGTCCCCTGCCCGGCCATCCATTCATCCGTCAAGACGCTAATGCATGTCTTCTGTAGGTGACCGACTCGCGAGAACGTCCTCCGCAGAGAGGTTCTCTCCAGCGACAGAATACTGGCATAGGAGGTGCCCAGGGCCGGCCGGCCATGCGCTTCATCTCTGTCGACAATGTGTTGCAGTACGCCTCCGACATTCCCTCGGGTCAGCCCCGCGTCGCCCCCCCTTCCCAACGTCCCGGAGGCGGCCCCGCGAGTGTCCGACGCGGCGGCGCAGGCCTGCCGAACCTGCAGTCGAAGACGGGGCAGCAGAGCATGCCTTCGCGTACGACAAAGATTAGCGAGAAGCTCGTGCTGCTTCCCGAGACGGACGAGAAGCCCGGATCCGACGAGGATCTCGACGAGCCGGCCAGCAGGATGGCGCGCGAGATCGAGGCCGAGGAGAACCGCCCACTACGCGACGAAGAGCTCGACGTGCTCCGCAAGAGAGGTGGCATCCGTGGCAAGAGTTACGCCGAGCGCCTGTCCAAGGTCCAGCGTAAAGAGAAGCTGGCGCGGTTGACGGCGTACTGCACGGCGCAGTCGTACAAGATGAAGTCGGCGGCCGAATTCTTCCGGACCAAGCACGACGCCAAGACGAAGCTCTACGACGACTGCCTTTACGTGGTGTACTCTTTGCCTCTCTTGAACGGCACCGAGGGCTACCGCCTCCGCAGCCGGCCGATTGTCAAGACGCCAGGAAGCGGCAAGACAGTCCTGGACATGGAGATTGAGCGAAGTGAGCAGCGCGACTACCACGAGGGATACTTCGAGGACGTCGTCGACACCGAAAGCCCCATCAACGGTAGCCCCATGAACGGCAACGGCGTCTACGGGGACGGGTCATCCTCGCCGCGCCATCACCGCGAGCAGTCCCCCGACGATCCCAACATCTCGCCCATGGCGCGGATCCCAGACGCCAAGTCGTTCGCCGAGATGTTCCTTTTCTCCTACGGCGTCGTCGTGTTCTGGAACTTCACCGAGCACCAGGAGAAGGACATCCTTGCGGACTTGACGTTCGCGCAGAACGAGAATGGCCTCTCGCTGCTCACGCGCCCGCTCGACGAGGATGACTTCGAGACGGAGGAGTTCCACTTCGAGTACAGCCACGACGTGAAGCGGCCGCGCATCTTCAACGACATGATTACACTGCTGCCGCGCAGCGACCACATGGTTAAGCTGACCATCAGCCACGCCATCGCGCAGAGCACAAAGCTGTGTCTCTTCGAGGAACGCATGAGCGAGACGATGCTCGACGCGCAGCATGTTCCGAAGCGGTTAGCCCTCACGGGCGAGCTGAAAATGACGAGGGTTGAGATTTTCAAGATCCTGGGCCGGCTGTTCAAGAGCCGCGTCGATATTAACCTCTGTAGGTTTAACCCCCCTTCCCACATGCCGTGGCACGGCAAGTCTATTTGGACGCGGTTTCCGAGGTATGCTAACCCATCTTGCCTAGCCTCCAACATCCTCGACGTCCCCAACTTCTTCTGGGACTCGGAGCCGACGCTGCACCCGCTCTACGTCGCCATCCGCGAGTACCTTGAGATCGACCCGCGCATCAAAGTACTCAACGAGCGCTGCCGCGTCTTCCTGGACCTCGCCGAGATCCTGGCCGACTCGGTCGCCGACGCTAAGATGAGCTACATCACCTGGATAGTCATCGTCCTCATCGTCATCTCCATCCTGGTCACCATGACCGAGGTCGGCCTGCGCTTCGGCATGCTGACCAAGAACAACGGCAAGGGCGCGGACGTGCCGCTGATAGCCGCCGCCGGCGGCTCCTCGGGGGCGCAGACGCAGCTGTTGCCGGGGAGCGTCAAGTGGGAGCTCGAGCGGAGGAACGTCAGCGTCGACGAGCTAAGGCTCTGGAGCCGGATGCTGAGCGAGGAGGAGGAGGCCGGGTCCGACCAGTCTCCACCTACGGGGAGCCAGATCGTAGGCAAGACCTTTGCTGGCGTATGAGGACTGCGTCGACTTTCTGCCCCGCTCCAGCTCTGATTACTTCATTTCTTGTTCCTTTTTCCATCTCTTTTGTATCATTAGTTACTGCATAGCGTGGCGTTGGCGGATTTGCAAATTTCCTTCTCAAATAATCATACGGGAAGAAGGCGGAATAGCAATCGAGGCTGGTTTCCTTATCAAACAGCCTCGCACGTGGCCCCAACATCGTCGGCCAGTCGATCCGTCTCATCAGTGGCAATTGGGACAACGGGAGTGAAGACGCCTCACTTGGGAAAGGACAGCAGATAAGGGGGACTCCGGCATCATTACACAAGCTCACACCCATTTACGTTCCTCGGTAGATTGAATTTGAGAATTTGATGGGCTCGCTTTAAGCTCCAGTGCTATACTATCAAGACAATGTGCAGTGAGGCAGGAACGGGATGGAAAGAAACCAATAGTCAGACGAACTTTGTAAATTTTTCTTTCTAACGAGGAAGGAATGGATACTCTACACTGTCCACACACGACCTTGACTGCAAAGGACCATCTACGCCTATTCCGTACATTTATATCCACGAAAAAAAAAAAACCCCCCAGAAAAAAATAAGAAAACCCCAAAACCCCAAAACCCGATTCTTTTGACGCGATCAAAAGGACGAAAACAACCCAACGGGCCTCTTACTCATCCCGGTCCGCCATGTTGGCGAGCGGAACGTAGCCCTGGTCTTGCGTCCGCCTGCCACGGAGCTTGCGGACGGCGTACTTGACCCTATCGAGGAGGCCGAAGCCGCGGCTCTGGGTGCTGGCAGAGGAGTCCATCATGTAGCTCGGGCGGGTCCAGAACTTGAGCATGAGACTGCTGACGACGACGCTGACACTGCTGCAGGCCATGGCGGCACCGGCAGCCATGGGGTGGAGGTGGAGGCCGAAGGGAAGGAAGACACCCATGGCGAAGGGCAGGCCGATGGCGTTGTACAGACAAGCCCAGGCGAGGTTGAGCTTGATGCGGTTGAAGATGGAGCGGGCAAGGTGGAGGGCGGCGGGGATGTCCATGAGCTCGGTGGGGCGCATGAGGACTACGTCGGCCGCCTCCATGGCGACGTCCGTACCGCTGGCCATGGCAATACCGACGTCGGCGGTCGCGAGCGCAGGAGAGTCGTTAATGCCGTCACCGACCATGCCGACGACCTCGCCCTGGTCCTGAAGCTGCTGGACAATGGCCTGCTTCTGATCGGGCGAGACGCCGGCGTAGACGTTTTCGGGGGGAATGCCGACAGCAGCCGCCACAGCGACTGCGGTAGAGCGTTGGTCACCGGTGACGATGGCGGTCTTGATCTTCATACGGTGCAGAACAGCGATGGCCGCGGCCGCGCCCTCCTTGATCGTGTCAGAGAGACAAAGATGACCACTGTACTGTCCGTCGACGGCAACAAAAATGTTGGTGGTGCCTGCCGAGGTCTTCTTGGCGCTAGAGTTGGCCTTGGCGTTCAGTTGCTCGGAAGCATCGACCGCCTCGGCGGGGACATTGACATTGTTTTCGCGGAGGAAACGGACGTTGCCAAGGAGGACGCGGTAGCGGGTGCGGTCGTTGCCTATGGCCGGCTCGACGAGAGCGTTGATACCTTTGCCGACGACAGCCTTGAACTCGCCGACGCTGCCATCGAGGGTGGCCTCTTCATCGATGCCAAGCTCAGCCTTGGCGGCACCCAGCACGGCTTTGCCTACCGGGTGCTCGCTACCCATCTCGGCGAGCCCGACAATGTGCCACCACAGCCGGCG